TGGTTAAGGGTAGTTAGAAGCCAGAAAGAAGATGTGGGTGAAGGGATGAGACTCCAGGTACAGAAAACAACCGGGGATGAGAACAGGGGAACTGAGCAAGGAGCCTTTCAGAAAATGTACCTTGGATTCAGTGGCATGAAGGGAAGTTAAGAGGAGTGCTGCCACTTTAGCAACTGAGCTACAGAAGGATTATGGCTTTCAAGATACAGAATTTAGACTTTATTCTGAAATGGAAAGGGAAAGCACGATCGATTACAATTATTTCAGAAAGTTGATTCTTGGGTTAGAGTAGAGGATTGTTTGGGAGCTGAAATGTAGGTAAAGACAGAAAGGTTGATGACCAAACCAAGCTGCATCAGTAGCCGTGAGAGTAACATTAGAGTGGATCACATATTGAGTAAGAGGAGTTGATACAACTGACAACAAACTGGGCAGGGGATGCAGGAGGAGAGAGGCAAAGAAGGTTCTGAAGGACTGCTTGGGATACCATTTTGGGATACAGAAAAATGGATTCGGCTTTTGAACTGTAAAGTCATATTGAGTTGGGAGGCCATCTGTGTGGAGATGTGTTACGAGCATTTGAAATACATGACAGAAGGGCTAGGCTGATGCCATTATTCAAGTGTCATTAGGGCAGAGTGGGAACATCAAGGCTACAAATGTGCTTATTCAAAATGTGTAGCATGAGAAGCCAGTGGAATAGAGGACAGAACTCAGGACAAGGAAAATGTATGCCGTGGGTGGAAGAAGAAACGTAATGACTGAAATTTGTTGAAGAAACCAAATACCTGGAAGGAAAGTGATGGATGCCAAAGGATGAGGTTCACCAGGAAGAGGTTACAGCCCCACAGGCATTGAAGTATGTCATGGGCTGAGAACAAACATGCTACTTTCAACAGTTTTAAAAAGTCAACATTGGCGATGGCAATTTCAATAGAATAAAGTGAAGGAATGTTTTTTTTTTTTTTTAAGTCTTCATAGAAGCTTTGGTCAGGTCAAATTTTACTTCTAGCAAGACAATTTCATTCCTCTCTCATCAGTTTTAGAAAGCAATAATTTGAAATATTCATTCATTCATGGGAAGAAAGAAAAAAATTCTTGTCACACTGACACTGACTCATGCTTCAGAGCTAGAAATAATGGAAATATTGTCCCTGTCTTCAGGTCCTTATGTCAAGCAGACTGGTTCACTGAAACCAAGAAGGGATGAGTTCAAGTGGGCAATGGTTAGAGCACCAAAGCATAGCCTTGGGTAGCTAAAGCCACCGAATACATGGAAACGGTAGGGAAAGTTTGCCCTGTACTTTTCTGCTCTTTAATTCTACAATTTACTGACAAAAAAAGGTGAATTTGAGTTTGGAATGAATACTTATTAATTTATTTTTTTCTTTCTATAACTTTCAAGACCCTACTGAATCAGCCTATGATTTTTATCTGTGCTTTTATTCTCCTTGGCTAGTACCCCCACAATTTTTTTTGCCATCAGTTTCTGAATAATTTGGTGGTGAAATCTTCAGAAGGCCATCACCTGCTGCAGCAGTATCCAAGAATTCACCTACCCAGATGCATTTTTACAGTAACTACTAAACTCTTCCCCTGTCTTGTGGGGTAAGTGAAAATGCAACTTGTGATGCTATTTAAGAATCCCTGCATTTGAAAGTTGGAGAGCCACTGACTCCTGTTTTTTTTGTTGTTGTTGTTGTTCATTCCTAACCAAGTTTTATTCACAGTTTTCCTTTCTTACAACCTCAGGAAGATGGATTCTTCTAACATAAGTGGTTTCTCCTTTCACAATTAAAGTTTCCTCCCTCCTTTAGAACCCAATGCTGAAGGTATTTGTCTGTCCCTATTTCCTTTATTTCTGACTCATGCTATTGTTAGGCATCTTAGATCTCTCTGTGGGTTGAAAGTTCTTTAATAGAGGAAATGTGTATTGTTAAGTTTTAAAATTTTGTAGATCGCTTCATGCTTTAACCAGAAATGTAGTGCTCACTGAAGCACACATGCATTTCACGTAGTCATTCACAAACAGATACTAAACATAAAGTGGAGAGTGTATTCTAGAATGTGGTTTATAAATATGACACCTTTAGGTTACAGCATCTTACAAGTTCCCATTAAATTTAAAAAAAAATTGAAAGATTATTGGAGAGAAGTAAAATTAGCTGCAGTAATGGTAACACATCAACGACAGTGAGAGTGAAGACCAAGAAGAAAAGAGGAAACCCTGTCTGGGAAATAAAGAAGCCACAATGCCCACAGAGTCATGCATAGAGCACCCACTGAATCGCTCTGAACATATGCTTTTCATTTGATTTTGACGTACACTTTATTTACTCAAAATAGTGAGCTTTTCTGTCAGCGGGCTTTCCAACAGTCAATGTACATGGACAAATGCAGCTACATTTTTGCTATGACCACTGGCTTACTGGTAAGGCTCCTTTAACAAATATCTATTTTCCACACAACTACTAATATCATTGCAAATGAGTAACTGAATAAAATTTTCTCTTCTGTGCATAACCAGTGCCCAGAATGAAGGTGTGCTACATCTCCTGCATTCACGACATGAGCCCTCCATCTGACTTTTCTTCCCAGCAACACTGTTTAATATGAGGATCTGAACTCAGCAGGTATGCGGCTGGCATTCATTAGTTACTGAGTAAGGACTTTGTGTGACCAGCCTTATGTAGAGTCAGATGACGTCATCAGTATCTACTAACACTGGGTCATGCTAATGGTTGCTCTTGCCTGCTAACTTGCCTGGATTTAGAACCAGCAAGGAGCTAAAACCCTGGCCTGTCTGCAATGAGAGAGAAGATCCACCATCCATTCTTGGGATGCAGACTGGACACAAAGGTGAAAGCTCACTGAACACCTGTGTTCATCTTTCTCCCTCCTGACTGTAGGTACAATGTAACCAGTTGCTGTATTCTTCCCACCACCAGCCTTCCTATGCGATGGACAGCGCCAACATAAACCTTGGCTTCCTTAAGTTTCTAGTTAGTGGTCCACAGCACTGAGGAAGGCAACAAGAACAATATCAAATGCATGTCTTTTTCAGGTGTTCTCAGAGGAATGTTAGTTACCTATTCCTGGACCAACTCTGCATCCATTAGCAGTGTCCCTTTAAACACACTATTTGTGTCCTAGGCAGCCTACTCTACAGAGCTAATTCTAGGATAGCCAAGGATACACAAAGAAACCCTGTCTAAAAAAACACCCAAACAACAAAAAAACCCCAAACCAAAAAATAAATGCATTGTGCCAGTGTGGTTTAAAGAGAGCACTGTCAGTATAAATTTTATCATCTCAGTGTTGCCCTTGTGCATCATTAACAGAAACACAGGGACACATAAAGGTGTGGATATTGCTTTGATTTGCCACATATAAATTATATTCTGCAGCATTTAAAAAGTTGCCACCAAATTCAATACACAAACTTCTTCTCATCATTTTTCAAGTTTGTGTGGAGGTCAAAATATCTTGATATAAAACATTTGAACTTAAAAACAGCTTTTATCTAAAATGAATAAATGTTCTTTTTAATTGCTCTCTTTTCTAAGTTTACAACTGACAGTAAATCTCCTTCAACAATAGTCTCCAAAAATGCAAACAAAGGGAATAGTAACTCATAGCAATGATAGCCAAGGGATCACCATCTCCTAAGAATGGAAAAATGGAAAATTAAGACCACAGCTGAGAACCCATTTAAGAACAATAATTTCATCAATGCTATTATGACATTTGCTTAGTAAAGATCTATCAATTCACAGTAAGTTTTAAATGTTCATAACTTTCTTTGATGGAGAAAGTTGGCTGTCCAAGGCCTGTCAGCTGAAATAAAGCGAATGGAAACCTGGGCATTCTGACCCATCCACAGAATTACTTCATTTCCATTAGAATACCAAGCTTTATTAACTTTTCTCAGTATGTATCTTTTTGAAAGTCTAACAAACAAGAATCTGTTTTATGTTTTAAGTAACCTTGGATGTTCAATAACTATTCATCTATTATATTTCAAACCTTTCAGGTAGAATAATAGCCAAGAAATGCATTCATGCAAATTGGGAAGGAATTCCTAAAAAATACTAATTGAATTTCTTCCAGGACAAAAAGGACATAATGTGTTTAATTCTTGACCATGTATCAGAAAAATGAACAGTGCAAGGATGTCATTGGTGTGAGGAGCATGTGATTTTTGGAAGAATTATTCTGATTCTAATCAGGACATTGAGGCTCAAACTAACAATTGCTAGTCTTTGCCTGGTTCTGCCATCTAAGATTCAACCAAGTGAAAAATTTATCCTCATAATTCTACCAGCCACTTGGCTGCTAAAGAGCTGTGCTGAGGGACAAGTCATGCTAATAAAGTAAGTGAAATACTTCCATGAAAATACACAAATTCTCACTACAGCTGGTCCACACTCCCCTTCTCTGGGTGTGATGAGAAAAAAAAGGTGATTGAAGTTCACTTGTCTTTCCAAATACCTTATTAACATTAAATATTTTCTATTCTTCATGGACTAGAAATTACAGGGGTTCCGAGTATTGTTTTGATTTGTTACATTTAATTTTATCTTGAACAGACTCAAAACTTTAGTTAGGCTTTAGAATGAACTTGACATTGTAAGAAGTTGGCTAACATGTCTTTTTCTGAATTGCTATATTTGTGGTTTGACACACACATATGCTTTGCTCTTTCTTAAGTGTTTCATGCAGTTAGTTATCAGCCACCCTCAACATGTATTCCATAGTCATTATGAATCTTGTGTGTGTGTGCAGGTATTGCAGGGGATCGATCCCAGGGCTTATGCATGTTAACCTAGTGCTCTACAAACTGAACCAAGCACAGGTGTGAGACTTTACCAAAAATTTTGAATTGCTAGACATATGGTGCTGTTTACATGATGGGTTAACTTACTGTCCAGACAGTTTTAACATTCAGCTAGTGCCCCAAACATAATACCTTTTAATGCATGTTACTACATACAAATTACCTGGCAGTGACTTAGACCATTTGACTACTGAAAGCAGTTGCCTCTCGCCTAGTTGATTGAGACTGGTCAGCAAAGAGCTGGACGTGTCAGGTTTTGTGTTGTCATGTCCTGCGTAGATCACATCAGGCTCAATGGTCATGAGCAGGTTGATGAGTGGGGGGATCAGCTGCATTTCTTGACTTGGGGAGAAGGTGATTCTCTGGCCTAAGGGCTGGCTCTCATTAGGAATGCCCACTGACTGAGGGAGAGCAACACCATCGAGGGCTCTCATAACTCGGACTTTATTGAACTTCTTAAACTTCCGACCTACAGAGAAGACAGAAAGGGAAAGAACTTTGTGTAAACACAGGTATTCATTATCCTAGCATTGCATTGTTTTCTTTAAGCCTTATAATCACTGCACTGTACTTTTTATCATTAATCTGAAAGCGAAAGCTGGGCAGGCATGGCGACACATACCTATAATCCCAGCTCTTGAGAGGCAGAGGCAGGAGGATCAAAAGAACACCAAAGCAGCCTTCCTGAACTACACAGTGAGTTCAAACTAGCCTGGACTACATAACATCTTGTCTCAGAGAAAAAAAGAGAGAGGGAAAGGGAGAGGAAGAGAGGGGCAGAAGGAGAGATCATATTTGGGTTAAATAATAGCGGTACTCTCTGGGTTACCAGGTATGTGTGTAGTCACATCAGGACTGAGCAGAGGTTATCAAGCTCTGAGTTCCAAGGCACATGGGAAGGCAAGTAGCATTTCGGAGACACCAAAATCAGGGTTGGTCAATTGTGTAACAGGATTGCCCTCCAAAACTTGTGGTCCAGGCTACATTTGTGCAAACAGGGTTTTATGATTGTGAATCTTCTTTTGGATTTTATTCTTTTAAGACTGTTACAATTCATACACATCATGCAAACCCCATGCCTTTCATAGAATTTCAGCAGATTCATGTTTCTTAAAATCAACCCATGTACTGCTACAAGATCAAAATAAACAAAACTAATACTACTGTGGTAGTTTGCATGTCATTGGCCCCCATAATCCCAAAGGGAGTGGCACTATTAGGAGGTGTGGTGTTATTGAAGTAGGAATTGCTTTATTGGAGGAAATGTGTCACTGTGGGGGCAGGTTTTGAGGTATGTGTTGCTCAAGCTTCACTCAGTGTGACAGACAATTTTCTGTTGCCTGCAAGGTGTAGGACTCTCAGCTACTTCTCCAGCACCACGTCTGCCTGCATGCTGCAATGTCCCAACATGATGACAATGGACTGAACCTTGAACTGTAAGTGAGCCACCCCATTAAATAATACTTGCTATTTTCATGGCGTCTCTTCATAGCAATAGAAACCCTAACTGAAACAATTATCTTCCCTAAATTAAGGGAAGACATAATTTCATCTGTGATCTGTGATCTGTGATCTGTGCTTGCAGAATATATATATTTATAGCCAACTTGTAAAATTTCTAGTTTGGTGAATTATTTTATTTTCAGAAGAAAAAACATGATGGCAAGGAAGTAGAATTTGCTCTTGACAACATCTGTTGACCGCCATACCATCCGGAATTCAACCATACTCAATCTTAGGAGCTAAGCAGCTTCAGCCCAGTTAATACTTGGATAGGATAACAGATTGATGGGAACCTGGATGCATAGGTAGGCTGCTACTTTTCAGACACATGGGGAGTGAATCAGAGAAAGTCTTTTTGATTAAGCACAGGCCCAGCCACCACCACCCCAGGTTAGGTACAGCTTTTCACTGTGAAGGGACTATGCGGTGTGGCTGCTGCTCGAGGCCTGGTTATTGTTTATAATGGTCTAGTTATGTACATGTGCGGCCAGTAGGTTAGATGTGTTCAGGATAGCTGTAACTGTATCCCAACACATCTGTAGATGGCAGACTTTTGTGCAGCAATACCCTCTGAGTGGGAACATTCCACCTTGGAGAAGGGTATTGACTGAGGAGGCAAAGTTTTTTATTAAGTCTGGGAGAATTGAAACTTAAAGATCCACGAGGCCATAGCCAAGGTTATAGATAGACTCAGTGAACAATTGCCAAAGAGAAGGTTCTTCCTATCTGTCCAGAAGAGAGACTATCCTTTCTGTTGAGCTGCCTGTAAGTCACTCAGAGGAATTTAGGGTAATATCTTTCCTTAGCCTTTGGTGATGTGCCTGCCTTTGTGTTATTAATACTTCTATAAACAACACTAATAAGCTCACTGGTTCACCAAATTGGACTTGGGTGATATTGTTAGTTTTGTTTGTTGTCAGTTGCTTTCTGGGGTGAGCAGACATTTGTTCAGGTCTCCCTGGGAATAGTGTCACACAACACAAGTCCACAAGTCATGTTACAGTGTCAAAAGGTTCAATGCTCCTGGAGCATAGGTGGTGGTATTCTGACTCTTGTACTTGATGTGACTCACACATTTGCTTGACTCATGCAGCACTGAGCTGAATTAAGGAACCATCCCTGAACTAGGCATCTGTTGGTGTAAGTGGTTAGATTTGGACATTCTCGTTTTCCTAGTTCACACCTGATGTGAGATGTTATTCTTTATATGCTTCTCTTATTGTTTAATGAATAAAACACTGATTGGCCAGGCGGGAAGATAGGCAGGGCTAAGAGAGGAGGAGGATTCTGGGAAAGGTAGGCAGAGTGAGCCCACAGGACAGAGTCACAATGCTACTGGAGGAGTAATACCATGCTGGGCATTACTGGGTAAGCCACAGCCTCATGGCAATACATAGATTGATAGAAATGGGTTAATGATTAAGACAGAGCTAGTCAATAAGAAGCCCTAGTCATTGGCCAACAGTTTCATAACCAATATACCATCTGTGTGCTCATTTAGGGCTCAAGGTCTGTGGGACCCGCTCGGCCAGAAAACTCATGCTTACACACACCACAGACTGGTAGTAGACAGTGCCAGTTTACTTAGTTCTCAGCTCAGATGTCACTGTAAAGACAAAGGATGAGATTTGTCCTGTGAAACCCCATGAAAGACAGCAAAAACTTGTAGGTTACAGGCAGACAGTTCCCAGATAAACAAGGGAAAGGATTGAGAACCTAGTGTAGAGGTCAGATGGGCTTCCTGGGAAAGGATATGTCACTAGCAGAGAAAAAAGTCAGATTTACGGAACACCTACAGTTAACTGGGAAATTCACAGATGTGTCATTGGTATCAGTGCAGTCTTGAAAATGAATGATTCCCTTTGCAGGTCAGAAGCAATGCAGAGAGCTGGGGACTCCACACTTAATGCATGAGCAGTCGAGCAGAGCTCTGAGTATCTGATGTTAAAGCACAGATTCCCTGTCCCTTCCTCCCTCCCCTGTTGGTTCAAATGGGATAAGTCTTCTCAGGGAGAGGCTCTGGTGAAGAGATTTAGGGGAGAACTTGTGGGCAACAGCACAGAACTTGGCCCCAATATTTTTAATGGTTCGTTCTGATATAACATTGCAATCAATGGTTAATAGCAAAAATAACAACACACCCTCTCCCAACCCTAATAATAACTCCAAGTGGTTTTCCTTCTGAATTCTTATTTCTCTTCACATATTTTTTTTTTACTTATAATAATTACATTCTTAACAACTGCCCGTAATTCCAGATCCTGGGTTATCCAAGGCCCTCTTATGGCCTCTGTTGGTACCTGCACAACCACAACATAGACACACGTAGTCACAAAATTAAAAAATAATTTTAAAAAATTATGTTTTTCTAAGAGACTATATAGTTTAAACATATAAAAACCAAAATTTCTTCCAGTTATCCAACCCAGATTATTTCATAGTTTTCTTATATATAATTCAAATTTAAAATGCTTAATGTAATAAAATTCCCCTTTAAAAAGCCAAACAGAAAAGAGTTTAGGAGCTACTAATGTACCTCAGCAGTGGAGTGCCTCTTAGGTGCATGAGGCCCTCTGTTCTAGCCTCAAAAGCAGGGGGAGGACAAGGAGGAGGAGAACAAGGAGGAGAAAGGCAGGGAGGAGGAGAGGGAGGAGGAGGACAAGGAGGAGAACAACAAGGAGGAGGAGGACAGGAAGGAGGAGGAGGTCAAGAGAAGAAGAGAAGGCAGAAAAGAAAAGCATTAGGGAGTTGGGCGTGGTAGTGCATGGTTGTTTCCTGGGTACTTGGGAAGCCAATGCAGGAAAACTATAAAGGCAGGGACATCCTGGGCTACAGAGTAATTTCAAGGCTAACTTTGGTAACTTCATGAGCAAAATAAAACCATTTAATGCCTCAGAATATGAACCATAAGGGCATTAGGGATATAACTCAGTGGGAGAACACTTGTCTGGCAAGTGTGAAAACCTAGATTTTTTTTCTCCAGTACTAGACATGCAGACAGACACAGAAAGAAAGAAAAAATGAAGAAGAAAGAAAGAATAAAGGAAGGAATAAAGAAAGGGGAGTAAAGAAGGAAGAAATGAAGAAAAAGAAGGAAGGAAAGAGAGAAAGAAAGAAAGAAAAGAAAGAAAGAAAGAAAGAAAGAAAGAAAGAAAGAAAGAAAGAGAAGGAATAAAGAAAGAGCAGAAAGGATAAAATGGACAAGGAAATAGAATAACATGGGAACTGTCATGATCACAGTCTTCTCTAACCATCCTTCCCATACACCATCCCGTTTTGTTTTCCAAGTATTTAATTACACTTTACAATATAATAACACTAGAAAAATGCAGAGTATCACACCACAGAAGACCCCCTTAGACCTTAGTCTCCTCATTGTTTCCCATGGTGATCCTCAATCCCTTACACTTTCCTACAATTCACTTTGCCTTCTTTCTCTTTTTTCATAACCCCCCCTTTTCTGGTTTAACCAGTATTTGATTACACTGCAAATACTGCTGTCTTTTGAAAACCAGAGCAAAAGTTTTACACATTGATCAGATTTTAAAAAAGTCTCCCCAAATGTAAAAACCCTACCTCCCTCACATGTTGATTATATATAATATAGCTGGAATCAATATGGAAAGTTTACATGGTTATGCTCATGGATCAATCTTTACATAAGTCAAAGCATGATCAAATGTTGAGCTGTGTCACTCACCTGTCCTGATTAAATATTTTGAATAAATATTTAATATTGAAAAATTTGAATAAATATTAGTATTTGCACTTTAGAGATGAGGTTTATGGGAATCTAGTGATTTTCTAACTTTATGAGGTTAATATAGACCCTAGAAAATGTGTCAATCAAAGGCTATTTTCTTTTTTTTTTCAGGACAGGGTTTCTCTGTATAGCCCTGGCTATCCCAGAACTTACTCTGTAGAGCAGGCTGTGCTCAATCTCACAGATATCCTCCTGCCTCTGCC